TGTATGGGTATGGGTTTGTACAAGTGAGTGTTCTGCCTGCGCAGGCCAGAAGAGGTGTCAGATCTTGCAAAACTGGAGTTAGAAGTTAGATATGAGTACTGGAAAATGAACTCAGGTCCTCTCCTAGTATCTTAACCATAGAGCCATCTCTCCATCTCTCCAGCCATCACTGTATTCTTTTTTTTATTTCATTTTATTTAATTCTTTCCTTATTTCTATTTTTGTTTTCAATGCATATGGATTTGATTTTATTTAATTTTTTCTTTCTTTTTTTTTCAACATATGGACAGAGTCTCCCCCTACTCAGTCTTCCCAGTCCTTGCTCCTTCCTGTCCCCCAGATCCACTCCTCCTTTGCTTCTCTTCAGAAAGGAGCAGGCCTCCCAGGGATTTCAGCTGAACACAGCACAACCAGATGCAACAATTCTAGGCCCAAACCCTGATATCAAGACCAGATGAGGCAACCCAGTTGGAGGAAAAGGTACCAAGAGCAGGCAAAAGAGTCAGAGACACTCCCATTCCCACCGTTAGGTGTCCCACAAAACCCCAAGCTAAACAACCACAGCATGTATGTGGAGGACCCAGTGCAGACCCAAACAGGCTCTGTAGGTGCCACTTCACTCTTTTCCAGCCTCTATGAGCCCAGCTTAGTTAATTCTGTGGGTTGTGTTCTCCTGGTGTCCTTGACGCTCTGGCTTCTCACTGGCAATGATCATGTGAGTTTTGCTATGTTGTCTTTGCCAAAGACATCAAAGTAAGTTCTGTTGAACCATGGTAAGCCACTTACAGAACGGGTATTTTGCTTTGTTAGGTTGAGGAAAGCAAATTGCAATATTAGAAACACTTTTTTTTTTGTTTTTAGCGATAATATACTCATATTATATAAGATAAAATGAAATCTGCTGAACAAATATTGTTTTTGATTGATATTATTTGTTTACAAAAGTTAAGGTATATTGCATACAAAGTTGTAAGGCTAATAATAAAACATATAAATAACTCAGTTATGATTTGGGATTTCATTAGTCATTTTTTTAAAGTTATTTTTTTCTTCTATTGTACCACTCCAACTCCCCTCCTCTCTGGATTCATTCATTTTCTGTCTCTTATTAGAAAAAAATAAGTTTCCAAGAGATAACACCCAAACATGACACAATAAAATATAGTACGATAAAACAAAACTATCACATTGAGGCTGGAGAAGGCAACCCAACAGAAGGAAAAGAGCCCAAGAGAAGGCACAAGAATCAGAGATCCACCCTTTCATCCATAGGAGTCCCATTAAAAAAATACTAAGCTAAAAGCAATAAAATGTATGCAGAAGACCTGGTGTGGGCTCTGTTCTTGCCTCAGTCTCTATGAGTTTATCTGAACCTTTGCTCGGTTCACTCTTCTTAGAAGGCCTTGTTCTCCTGGTGTCCTCCATTCTCTCTGGCTCTCTCACTCTTCTCCAGTTGACTTTCATAAGTTTCTCTGAGATCTGAAGTGAGGAATTTGATAAAAACTTCCATTCAGAGCTGTGTGTTCCAATGTTTTTCTCTCTCTGCATAATATCTGGCTGTGGGTCTCTGTATTTGTTCCCATCTGCTGCAGGAGGAAGCCACTCTGATGAGGGCTGAACAAGGCACAATTTTTGGTCATCCAAATGGGTATGGGTTCCATCTTGTGTAAGGAAGCTTAAGTCAAATCAAACATTGGTTGTCCATTCCTGCAAGCTTTGTGCCACCATTGACCTAGCATATCTTGTAGGCAGAACATGTAGGTCAAAGTTTTTTTTTGACTGTGTTAGTTTTTATAGTTCTCTTTTGGTAACCTACATAGTACCTTCCTTAAACTAAGATACTAGAACATAGTGGTGAAGGCTCATTGTAGGCTCCAGTTCGACTTCTCCATTTTCAATGAATTATGTGGTTGCTGTCCTCAGCAATGGGACTTTGCCTTCTCTTTATGGAGAACAACTCATTGTCTTTGTAAAAGCCAATATTGTTTGTGGGGTTTCCATGGGATCCCTTTGGCCAACAACCCAATTGCATGCAACCCAGTCCCATTACTGGAAGACTCTCTTGGTGTCTTTAATGCTCAATTGGGATTCTGTCACCCCCATTACTAGGAGACCTCATTAGGTATGCCTTCATACATTTGGAGGATTTTCTACAACACTGGGTTTCCAAACCATCCCTCAAATACTCCTCAATTCTAGCTATCTCCCCCTGTGTTCTCTCAATCAACCCTATGTACCCTTCCCCTTCCCACCTGATCCTCTTATTTGTATCCTGCTTATCCCCCGGTCACCATAAAATCCATTCTATTTCCCCTCCCAGGGAGATCTATTTGTCCCCCCTAGTCCCTTCTATACCTAACCTCTCTGGGTCTACTGGTTGTAGGTTGGTTATCATTTATTTAACAGCCAATATCTACATATAAGTGGAAACACACCATATTTATCTTTCTGGGTCTGGGTTGGTTCACTCAGGATGATTTTTCTGGCCCCATACATTTGCCTGCAAATTTCATGATGTCATTATTTTAACAGCTGAGTAATACTCATTTGTGTAAATGCATCACGTTTTCTTTACCCATTCTTTGTTAAAGAACATCTAAGTTATTTCCAACTTCCAGCTATTATGAATAGAGCAGCAATAAACATTGTTTTGAGAAAAGTGTCCTTGTGGTAGGATGAAGCCTCTTTTGGGTACATGCCCACGAGTGGTATAGATGTATCTTGAGGTAGATCAATTCCCAACTTTCTGAGGAATTGCCATATACTATATTGCTTCTATAGTAGCTGTGCAAGTTTGCACTACCACCAGCAATGGATGAGAGTTCCCCTTACTCCACATCCTTCAGAGCCTAATCTGTCACTTATGATTATTGATCTTAACCATTCTGACAGGTGTAAGATGGAATCTCAAAGTAGTTTTGATTTGCATTTTCCTGATGGCTAAGGATTTTAACATTTCTTTAAAATGTTTCTCAGCCATTTGAGTTTTCTCTGTTGAGAATTCTCTTTTTAGACCCGTATCCCATTTTAAATTGGATTATTTTTCTTTTTGATGTCTAGTTTTTTGAGTTCTTTACATATTTGGGATATAAGTCCCTATTATAGGTTGGTAAAAATCTTTTCCCATTCTGTAGGCTTCTGTGCTTTTTGTTCTGAATGACTGTGTCCTTTGACTTATAAAAGCCTTTCAGTTTCATGAGGTTTCATTTATTATTGATCTTAGTTCCTGCACTATCAGTATTCTGTTTTGAAAGTCTTCTCTTGTGCCAATGAGTTCAAGAGTGTTCCCTGCTTTCTTTTCTATCAGGTTCAGTGTATCTAATTTTATGTTTAGGTCTTGGATCCACTGGGACTTGAGTGTCATGCAGGATGATAAGGATGGCTCTACTTGCAATCTTCTACATGTAGACATTCAGTTTAACCAGTGCCATTTTTTGAAGATGCTGTTTTTAATTCCAGTATGTATTTCTGGAGATTTATGTCTGGGTCTTCAATTCCATTTCATTGATCAATGTGTCTGTTTTTATGCCAAAACTATAGGGTTTTTATTATTATAGCTCTCTAGCACAACTTGAAATTGAGAATGGTGAGACCTCCAGCAGATTCTTTTTTTTTTCTTTTCTGTATTCTTCTCTCATATAATACATACTGACCCCAGTCTCCCCACCTTCCCTTCCTCCAGGTCTCCCCCTCACCTTTTCTCCAGATCCACTGCTCTTCTGTTTCCCTTCAGCAAAAAGAAGGCCTATCAGTGATATTAACCTAGTATTGCATAGCAAGATGCAATAGGACTAGGTAGGCATTAACTTTCATGTGAAGGCTGAAAAGGTAATCCATTAGGAGGAAAAGGGCAGTTCTTTTATTGTTCAGGATTATCTTAGCTATTCTGGGTTTTTTGTTTTTCTACATGAAGTTGAGAATTTTCCTTTCAAGGTCTGTAAAGAATTGTGTTGGAATTTTGATAGGGATTACATTGAACCTGTAGATTGCTTTTGGTAGGATTGCCATTTTTACTATATTAATCCTACCAATCCATGAGCATGGGAGGTCATTCTTTTCCTGATATATTCTTCAATTTCTTCAAGATATTTGCTATTGTGAAAGGTGTTGTGTAGCTGAAGTTTTTCCTGTGTCCTGCCCAGTCCACAGCCGCTCAGACCCAAGCAAACACACAGAGACTTATATTAATTAAAGCTGCTCGGCCATTAGCTCAGGCTTACTACTGACTAGCTTTTACACTTAAACTCATCCCATTTCTATTAATCTATATGTCACCACATGTTCCATAGCTTTACCGGTGTGCCATTACATGCTACTCCCTGGAGGAGGGTTGGCATCTCCTCACTCAGCCTTTCTCATCCCAGAATTTTCCTTCTCTGCTTCTCCTGCCTATACTTCCTGCCTGGCTACTGGCCAATCAGCATTTTATTTATCAGCCAATCAGAGCAAAACACATTCACAGCATACAGAAGATGTCCCACAGCAGTGTTGTACCCATGATTTCTTTCTCAGTCCCTTTGTCATTTGTATATAGGTACGCTACTAATTTGGGTGAGTTAATCTTGAATCCAGCTACTTTGCTGAAGGTATTTATCAGCTGTTCAAGTTCCCTGGTAGAATTTTTAGGGTCACTTATGTATACTATCATATCACCTGCAAATAATGATACTTTTATTTCTTCCTTTCCATTTTATATCTCCTTGATCTCCTCCAGTTGTCTTATGGCTCTAGCTAAGACTTCAAGTTCTATATTGAATAGGTATGGAGAGAGTGGACAACCTTATGTTGTTCCTGATTTTAGTGGAATTACTTTGACTTTCTCTCTGTTTAATTTGATGTTGGCTATGGGCTTGTCATAAACTGCCTTTATTATGTTAAGGTAGGTCCTTGTATCCCTAATCTCTCTAGGACTTTTATCATGAAGGGAACTAGATTTTGTCAAAGACCTTTTCTGCATCTAATGAGATAATCATGTGATTTTTTTCTTTTGGTTTCTTTATATGATGGATTACATTTTTTTAAATTTTCATTTATTGAACCATACCTGCATCTGTGGAATGAAGCCTACTTGATCATGGTGAATGATCTTTTTGATATATTCTTGGATTTGGTTTGTAAGTGTTTTAGTGACTTTTTTGCATCTATGTTCATAAAGAAAATTGATCTGTAATTCTCTTTCTTTGTTGAGTCTTCATGTGGCTTGGTTATCAGGGTAACTATGACCACATAATATGAATTGGAAAGTGGTTCTTCTGTTTCTGTTTTGTGGAATAATTTTGGTAATATTAGTGTTAACTTTTCTTTGAAAGTCTGGTAGAACTCTGTACTAAAACCATCTGGCCATGGATTTAAGTGGGTTGGGAGACTTTTAATGACTGCTTCTGTTTTACTAAGGGTTATATGTCTTTTCAAATTGCTTATCTTATCTTGATTTAACTTTGGTAAAGGGCACCTATTCATGAAGTTATCGGTTTCTTTTAAATTTTCCAATTTGGTGGAGTACAGGTTTTTAATGTATAACTTTTGATTCTCTGGGCCTCCTCAATGTCTGTTGTTATGTCTCCCTTATTATTTCTGATTTTGTTAATTTGGATATTCTCTCTCTCCCTTTTAGTTAGTTTGGATAAGGATTTGTCTATCTTGTTCAATATATGAAAATTTTAAAAATTTTCTAGAGGAACCAACTCTTTGTTTCATTAATTCTTTATATTGTTTTCTTTATTGCTCTTTTATTGATTTCAGCCCTGTTTGCTTATCTCTTGCCATCTACTTCTCTTGGTTGTGATTGCTTCTTTTTATTCTAGAAATTTCAGGTATGCTATTAAGTTTCTAGTAAGAGTTCTCTCAGTTTTCTTACGTAGATGCTGAGTGCTATGAACTTTGCTTTTCGCAATACTTTCATTGTGTCACATAAGTTTGGGCATTCCTTGCATTCATTTTTGTTGAATTCTACAAAAGTCTTTAATTTCTTTCTTTTCTGTCTTGACCCAGTTTTCATTCAGCAGAGATTGGTTCAGTTTCCATGAGTTTGTAAACTTTGTGTTGCTTCTGTTGTTGTTGCTATCTATCTTTAATCCACAATGTTCTGATAGTCTGAGGGAGTTATTTCAATTTTCTTGTATCAGTTGATACTTGTTGTGTGTCCTAGTATGTGGTCAATTTTGGAGAAAGTTTCATGATGTGTGTTTTGGTGAAATGTTCTGAAAATATCTGTTAGGATCATTTGGTTTATAACATCTATTAGTCTAGCATTTCTGTGTTAATTTTTGTCTGGATGACCAGTCCTTTGGTGAGAGAGGGGTATTCAAGTCCCCCACTATCAGTGTATAAGGGACAATATGTGAATTAAGTTGTATAGTATGTCTTTTATGAACTTAGGTGCCCATGTGTTTGGATCATAGATGTTAAGAATTGAAATGTCATCTAGGTAGGTTTTTACCTTTGATGAATATGTAATGTCCTTCCCCGTCTCTTTGATTAGTTTGGTTTGAAATCTGTTTTATTATATATTAAAATGGCTACACCAGCTTGCTCCTATGTCCATTTGCTTGGAATATTTTTCCATCCCTTTACCCCGGGGTTTGACCTTTATGTTTAGGTGTGCTTCATTGATGCACAGAAAGGATAAATTCTGTTTTCCCATCCAGTCCATTACTTTGTGTCTTTTTATTGGGAGAATTGAGATCACTAATATTAAGAGACATCAATGACCAATGATTGCTGATTCTAGTTATCCTGTTGTTGTTGTTAAAGGTGGTGGTGGTGGTGGTAGTGGTGATGGTGGTGGTGGTAGTGGTGGTGGTGGTGGTGGTGTGTGTTTCCTTTCTTATGTATTCCCTGTGTTTTCATGGGTATAGCTGACCTTATTAGGTTGGATTTATAAGGCACCTTCTGTAGCGCTGGATTTCTAAATAGATATTTTTTAAATTTGGCTTTATCCATGGAATATCTTATTGTCTTCATCTATGGTGACTGAAAATTGTGCTGGGTGTAATAGTCTGGGCTAGCCTCTGTGGTTTCTTAGACTCTATAGCACATCTGCCTATGCCCTTATTTCTGGCATTTACAGTCTCCATTGAGAAGTAAGGTATAATTCTAATAAGTCTGCCATTATATGCTATTTTGCCTCTTTTCCTTGAAGCTTTTAATACTCTTTTTTTTTTGTTCCGTACATTTAATTTTTTGATTATTATGTGCTGAGGGAACTTTCTTTTCTGGTCCATTCTATTTGCTGTATGTACCATTTGCTTCTTGTACTTTTATAGACATCTCCTTCCTTAAGTCAGGAACATTTTCTTCGATGATTTTTGTAGAAAACATTTTCTGGGCCTTTTAGCTGTGTTTCTTATCCATCCTCTATTCCTATTATTCGTAGATTTGGTCTTTTCATAGTGTTCCAGATTTCTTGGGGATGTTTTGTGCCAACATGTTCTTGGATTTAACATTTTCTTTGACTGATACATACATTTTTTTTCTATCATATCTTTAATGCATGACATTTTCTCTTCCATCTCTTGTATTCTGTTCCTGAAGTTTCCCTCTGTAGTTTCTGTTCAAATTCTAAATTTATCATTTCCACTTGTGTTTTCTTTATTGATCCTATCTCTATTTCCAGGTTTTAAACAGTTTTATTTATTTCCTTACACTGTTTGCATTTTCCTGGATTTCTTTAAGGGATTTATTCATTTCCTCTTTAAGGATCTCTATCATCTTCATAAAGCCAGTTTTAAGATGTACTTCAGCTATGTTGCAATATTCAAGGTCTGCTATGGTGGGATAGCTGGGCTCGAATGGAAACATACTGCCCTGGCTGTTACTGATTGTATTTTTTGAGCTGGTGTTTAGGCATCTGGGATTGGTTTGATTATAGGCCTAGATGCTGATTTCTGGATCTGCCTTCACTGAGTGGGTGTTTGTTCCTTGGTTTCTGTTTCCTCCCTGGATTTTTGGGGAGTGTAATGATGCCTGTGTGTTGCCTGTTTCCCTGGCCCTGCTCTGTTTGTATATTCCCAGTGAATGCCTGCTGGTGTTGGAGGCTGGGATACTGGGATGAATTGAGGAATGGAAGGTTGACAGAGAAGATCTTTGTAATCTGTTGGGGGATGGGGCCAGAAAGGAAAGGGAAACTGCAGCAGGTTTTCTGTTATAGAGCTGGGGAAGAGACTGAGGGATTGGGTCTGGGGGAGAAGAAGAAGGAGAGGTATGAGTCTGCTGAGAGTCTACTGGTGGCCATAAGTGGAGTGGCCCTTGGGTTAGCAGGGAGTGTCTGCTGGAGTTGGGAGCTGGGACAAAGCCACAACTCGATGAGTGGGGGGTAGGGAGGATAGAGGAGAAGATCTGTGGGATCCACAGGAGATGT